GCTCCATGGTCTGATTTGTCCGTTCCGTCTGTCCGTCGGTTTGCGGGTGGTATGACGACGAAAACTGCAGACGGGTACCATACTGTGCCCACGTCTCCAGCCAGAACTTCGACGTAAATTTCGGGTCACGATCGCTGATGATCGCCGAATGTAACCCGTGTAAGCGTACGACGGTGGAGATGAACAGCTTGGCTGTATCTTCGGCTGTGATCGTCGTTCGGGAGGGGGCGAAATGCGCCATTTTCGTTAGGCGATCCACGACGACCATTATCGAGTCGTTGTCAGTCGTGCCAGCTGGGAGCCCCGTGACGAAATCCATCGTCACCTGTTTCCACGGTCGTTCGGGTGGCGTGAGGGGTTGCAACAGTCCGGCTGGCCTTTGTCGCGACGACTTCATTGCTTGGCAGGTCGGGCAAGTTGACACGTAGCGTTGTACATCGGTGTGCATGTTCGGCCAGTAATAATTCCGCTGCAGCTGCTTCAGTATTTTGTTGGTGCCGAAGTGCCCGGAAAGGTTGGAGTCCTGAACCTCCTGCTTGAGCAGCTCTCGTAAAGGTCGGTATGCTGGTACCCAAATCCGGTTCGTACCGGCTTTTAGGTAGTACTTGCCATGCGGTGTGGCGGCCTGTTGTTGCGGGTTCCGAATAAACCAGTCGATCTTGTAGCCGTGGGTGAATAGTCCCGTCAGCATCGGGTTGGTGTGGGCGATTAGTACTGCCGCGTTTTGCATGGATGGCTTGGTGAGGGCGTCGGCGATGTTGTTGGCGCCTTTCTTGTACGTGATGGTGTACCGAAAATTGGACTCGAGAAAGTCCAACCACCGGATTTGTCGCGGGTTCAGTGTCGGTTGCGTGCACATGTACTGTAGCGATTTGTGGTCGGTCCGAATTGTCACGTCGGCTCCCGTGAGATAGCAGCGCCAGGTACGAAATGCGTGGATGATGGCCAGCATTTCTTTGTCGTGGACTGGGTAGTTGCGCTCGGGTGGCTGCATCTTGCGTGACTCGTAGGCGATGGGTTGCAGCCCTTGGCCGAAGTCCTGTAGCAGGACGGCGCCGGCGGCGAAATCGCTGGCGTCCGTGACGACTTCGAACGGTCGAGATGGGTCGGCGAGGCGGAGTACGGGGGGCGAACCCAAAATGTTTTTGAGGGCGTCGAAGGCGGACTGCTCCCTCTCCCCCCACCTGAAATCACTGTCGTGGTGCAGCAGGTCGGTCTGCGGCTTGGTTATCCCTGCCATATTAGGGACAAAACGGCGAACGTAGCTAACAAACCCCAGAAAACTTTGCAACTCAAGGATATTAGTTGGCGGCTTCCACTTAACGATGGCGTCCACTTTACGCAGGTCGATTTTGATTCCGTCGCCAGAAACCACATGCCCCAGAAATTCCAGTTCCGGCTTCAGGAACTCGCACTTAGACCCCTTCGTAATCAGCCGATGCCCCTGTAAACGCCGAAATACCTCCTCTAAATCCCGCAGGTGGTCCTCTTTTGTCGTGCTGTACACCAGGATGTCGTCCAGATACACGATGACTTTCTTGTCCAGCATGTCCCGGAAAATTCCGTTCATTGTGAGCTGGAATGTTGAGGGTGCGTTTGTCAGTCCAAACAGCATCACCGTTAACTCGTATGCGAAAATCTGTTTTCGGGCAGTCGTCGGCGAACACGCGAATTTGGTGGTAGCCTCCTCGCAGGTCGATTTTCGAGAAATACCGGGCTCCACGAAGTTGATCCAGCAGATCGTCGGTTCGCGGGATCGGGTAATGCGATTTTATTGTGACCCGATTCAGCGCCCGATAATCAATGCACATGCGTAGACCCCCGTCCTTCTTCGGTGTAAACAGTATCGGCGCTGCAAACGGCGACGTGCTTGCCCTGATAAATCCCTTGGCGAGCAGGTAATCCAGCTGGGCCCGCAACTCGGCGAGCTCTGGTTGGCTGAGCCGCCACTGTGTCCGAACAGTTGGTTGCACGCCGGGCTCCAGCTGGATCCGATGATCCTCAGGTCGTTGGGGGGGCAAGCCGTCCGGGAGGTCATCCGCGAAAATTTCGGGATACCTCCGAATAATGCTCGCCAATTCCTCGGGGACTGCTGCGCAGAGGGTGTCGATGTCCGCGATTTTCTCGGAAGCTGTCACCTCGTACAGGTGTACCAAGAAGGCTTGAGCTCCACTGTTCATTGCTCGCGCCATGTTGACCGCGTTGACACGTGTCGTCACCGGCTCCGGCTCCGTCCATTTCGGAAGCGTCGTCTTTCCTCCGTACCCTCGCACGACGCACGCCCCAGTTGTCCAGTCGATCGTCGGATTAAACCGCTGCAGCCAATCTCTTCCCAGTAGCACATCGCAGCCGTCCAACGTCGTCGCCAACATCTTCATGCCAAACCCGAATTTTTCGCCACACCGTATCCGAATTCGTCGCGCTTCATCTCGGAGGGCCAGTGGTGTCCCGTCCACCAGCCTTGCATCAATCTCCGGCAGACACCTAGTCAGCTTCACCCCAATTTTTTTGGCCGTTGCCAGGTTGACGAGACTGTGGCTCGCCCCACCGTCAACGAATATTTTTATTTTATAACTGTTAACCCTCCCTACCACCAGCACAGGGTAGTCCACGTGTTCACCCACGTTATTCGTCCGGTTCTGGTTGATAGCTCTGATCGGTACCACGACCCGGTGTGGATGGTGAGTGTCGGGCGACAAGGTCTCGTCAGTAGGTGGCCCTTCTGCTACTGACTCGTATCTTTTCCCGACCCTTCTCCGTCGTTCTTCTTCCCCTGCTTAAGCCTCGGGCAGTCTTTTTTTAGGTGGCCCAGCTAGTTGCATAAAAAGCACGGCCCAAGGGCTCGGCTTGGTGCATCCACGCCGTTGATCGTGGGCTGCTGAGTCGATCCACGAAATCGAGGGCCCTCCTGGGGATCTCGCCCACTGCATCAGTGCATCCATTGACTTGGCTTCTTGGACGGCGTCGTTGAAACTTCATGGCCGGGTTCTTCGGACCTCATACTGTATCTCGTATTTTAGGCCCGCCACGTAGCGATCCAACCGCTCCGCGTCGCTCATATCGTCCACTTGATCCGCCAAGTTGCAGAACGTGCTGGTATAGTCTTGGACCGAAGTCAGCTGCTTCCAGGCACGCAGCTTCGTGCGGGCAGAGTCCGAGGCGGATATGTGCTCGAACCTGGTTCGCAAGGCGGCACCCCACTCCCTCCATGTGCGTATCGTGCCGTCCCGAAAATTGATGCTGCCTGATGCGTGACAGGTGTTGAAGTCCCGTCGTTCGCACGTGCTATTCTTGCCGAAGTCCCTTCGTGCTGCACCGTTCGCCTCCACCACTCCAGCGCAGGTCCTCGCAACAGTGAAACTGTGAAATTAATGCGGGTGGCATTGTCATAAATCATGGCAGCATTAAAAAACACCTCCACACCGAACAACCATGCAGAAACAGTGACGAACTTGTTACTTGGGTTAAACGGGGGTGGGTTTGTCGGCTTGATTTTAACAAAAGCCGTTGTTGCCATCGGGGCCGTTGGCATTGCTGCCGGTGTCGCCGTCGTCGTCGCTGCTGCACGTGTCGGTGCTGCACACGACTGTTGCGGTGACTGTTGCTGCTGCACCAGCCTCGCCTCGTCTGCATCCATCTTGCCTTCTAGCTCGCTCCAGACCCGCTCATCTGGTGCAGTGATGCTACTTGCGTCGTCCACAACAGGCGACTCTTGGTGCGCTTCACCACGCGCCTGGTGTAGTTTGGCGTTTTCCTCCCAAAGACGCGCCATTTCTGCAGACATAGTCTGCATGTTGGCCTGCATCATCCGGAACTGTTGCATGAGCTCGTTGAACTCCGCCTGGTCCATGTGTCGCAGGCTTCGTCTAACGGGCAGGGGGTGGCTAGCGATTTTTTCTAACGTCGGTGAAGGCGTTAATGCTATCGTAGTCGGAGTGGAATAATCGGATCTATTCCACGGGCCGACCGCTTAACAGCCCACCAAGTCTATCGCTCCCCTTCTACAAACTACCCCGGAAACGCGAGGGTAACCTAGGAAATTAGGCTTTGATACCAGGTGTTATGGGTTGTGAAAAGGAAGAGTGCGCAGAAACTCAATATTGCGGAAGTGATTACAACGTCTGAGAACACAACGAGGCCTAGGACTAATATAGCAAAGCTAGCTGGGCCAAGGTCGCGGGGTCACGAGATGGTTGGGTGCAAGTTCGGGGTTGGGAAACCCGAAAACGACGCGGTAGTGGCTCGGAAGGCGAGGTCAGCGGACCGAGCCTGGTTTTTCGAAAGTCGGGGTTGTACGCGTACAGTGTGACCCAATAAGGAATCCGAAAAATTACTTACATTCCTGCTAATAAATGTAACTAATGTAACATGTATGACATGGAGAGTACACCCCGTTCATTGACAGCAATATCAACAATTCATTCGAGTTGACTGCGTGCGAATCGAAGCCCAAACTCCTGGGAGCGTACAGCCTGATGATTGGCACGAAAAGTACGAGGCTGCCTCCAAGCCTCTACCAAGCCGAAGGCTTACCCCCGTGCCTCCTTTGGCCCTCCGGCCCGACAAAGTCCAGTCGGACCATATGGTTGATATGGTCCGACCAGACTTCGTGAAGCTGCTGTTTTCAGTCCCAATCAAGCCTCTGCGATCGCGAAAACGCTCGCCTACAACTTGCAAGTTTTCGCTAGAGTGGTGTCAGGTCTGGAAAACGATAGGCGAGCGGAAAACCTGTCACCAGCGTAACCCTCTCCTCTCACTGCACGAGTTTTCCCTCCACGGAAACCCTTCTCTGCCGGTTTTGTGCAGTCCAAGCAGCCTATCAGTAATTGCTATTAGAATTTTGTCAAGCTGAATCTGTTATTCGAACGCCATCATTTCTGTCGATTGCGTAGCTGACTGTTGCCGCTGATGGATAGCCATGGAGATGAGGTGATGGAGAGAAATCATGCTTTTAATGATACAATCCAGCCCTCTAATGCTGAGAAGCGCCACGAGGTGAGATGCCGCAGCGAGTGAGGCATGATGTCGCAAACTTGCGACAGTGAAGCATTGGACCATGGTTCCCAACGGATATTCTCATCACATTCCTCTCAGGAAGAAATAGAGATTTAGGCAAATCCTCACTTTCTATTGCTCACTTATCTTCTTTTTTCTTTTTCCCCACTACCAGAGCGAGGATGTGGTTGATCTGCTGCCTGGCCCCATCTGGCACATCATCATCCGCCACCTACGGGCACATCATTTTCCGGAAAATCAGGGTGAATCCTCGGGTGCATTGCAGCAGAAAGCAGGCGGCACCGCGAACGCCACAACTCTTCCGTTTCCTGCCATCACGTGGCAGCATGCGGAGGCATTGCGGAGCTCTGGCGCCTCTTGGCCTCTGCTGTTCTACGCCATGGCCAGCAAGAGGCTCCTCCGCCATGTTGCCTCCTTCGCCGTGAGTCATCATGCGCTGCTTCCCCCTTCCCACTCCCCCCTTCTCCCTTCCCTCTCCCCCCTTCCCCCTTCCCACTCCCCCCTTCTCCCTTCCCTTTTCCCCCTTCCCCCTTCCCCCGTTCCCCCTTCCCACTCCCCACTTCCCCACTTCCCCCTTCCACCATCCCCCTCTCCTCCACCACGTTGCCTCCTTCTCCGTGAGTCATCGTGCGCTGCTTCCCTCGCTCCATCGTACAACCTTACTCGTTTCACGGAATGGTAAGCCCTGATATCTGGCCCGTGCAATCTGCTATCATAATTATTATGAGCTGCAGGGTCGTGCTTAAGGTTCTCTACCATCGCTGTGACCATCTATGTGGCCATCTATGTGACCATCTATGTGACCATCTATGTGACCATCTATGTGACCATCTATGTGGCCATCTATGTGACCATCTATGTGACCATCTATGTGGCCATCTATGTGACCATCTATGTGACCATCTATGTGACCATCTATGTGACCATCTATGTGACCATCTATGTGACCATCTATGTGACCATCTATGTGACCATCGCTGTGTGTGAGCAGGAGTTGGAGCCCATGACACTCGTTTTCAACACAGGAATGCTCTCCTTCTTCCTGCGGCACGTAGCTCAGACATCTCTTGATCTCCTTCTCAACAGCCCCCAAGATCTGGACAGCATCGGCCGTCTCTTGCAGCCCTCTATACGCTCCCTCACAAACCTGTGCATTGGGCTCAAGGAACCACCCGGGGGAATTGAGCCTATCATTAAGGAGATTCACCTGATGAATCTGGCATTCCTCAAGGAGTTCGAGATTCTGCAGCGGGTGAAGCTAGGTCGCAGGACCTGGCAACTAGGCGACCTGGATCCAGCAAAATTCAAGGCTTTAAGGAGCCTGCGCATCCACGATTTCAATTGCGTCGGAAATGAGCTGTCCTTTGTTTCATCTGTCGCACCGCAGCTGCATGAACTCGCTCTCGCCTCCTCCAGCCATGGCTCTGGCTCCACCACCCTCGATTTCAAGCTCACTGCTACTCGATCTATCACAGTCTGCTTTGAGAAACAAGCGCTCCTCCTCCCTTCACCATGGCCCCCTCTTTAAAGTCCCTTTCGGCCATTGCAGCATTTCTCAACGTGGATTGCACATGCGGTAGCCGCCCCTCTCTCGACTCGCTCTCTCTCATTGGCCGCTCGCAGCTTCTCGTAACTTCGCTCCCATTGGCTGCCACCAAATCCGTCTACATGAACGGACCAACCGTTCGAGAAAATCGTTGGCGTGCGTTTCCCTGTTCCGATCTCGAATCTCAGCGCACTGTGACCCACCTGCTCAGCAGCATAGCGCCTACAGTGGAGTTGCTTATAGTGAGGTACGGCTGGCCTCTGGAGGGCGTGCGTGTGGAGTGGAGCCGACTGAGCCGCCTCGCCGTTGGTATGAATCGTTACAGCACTGGGGGGGTTAGTTACAAAGCTAAACCCGAGGACCCGGAAGATTCTAATTTCCAGAGGTGCTTTGGTGGGGAAGAAGAGAGCAGCAACGGCAGCAGCAGGAGCAGCAGCAGCAGGAGCGGCAGCAGCAGCAGCAGCAGCAGCCTGTTCATCAACGCTCCGAGCCTGAAGTTTTTCTTTTATCATGCCAAAGAGTACGAGTGCAAACCTGAACTACTTCTGGTTGCTCTGCGCAGGCAGTTCCCTTCTCTAGCATTGTTCAGCAGTGCTGCTGATCAAGCACTTACGCGTTAAGTTTAGGTAATGGTGAGACCATGGGATGGTGTGACCATGGGATGGTGTGACCATGGGCAGGTGTGCACCTGTGTGGTGTGCACCTGTGTGGTGTGCACCTGTGTGGTGTGCACCTGTGTGGTGTGCACCTGTGTGGTGTGCACCTGTGTGGTGTGCACCTGTGTGGTGCGCACCTGTGTGGTGTGCACCTGTGTGGTGTGCACCTATGTGGTGTGCACCTGTGTGGTGTGCACCTGTGTGGTGTGCACCTGTGTGGTGTGCATCTGTGTGGTGTGCACTTGTGTGGTGTGCACCTGTGTGGTGTGCACCTGTGTGGTGTGCACCTGTGTGGTGTGCACCTGTGTGGTGTGCACCTGTGTGGTGCATGCACAGTGGCTATGGATGCCATCATGGGGCGTGGTGTGTGCACCTGTGTGGCATGATGTGGTGCATGCACAGTGCCTATGGGTGCCATTCTGGGCCACCGCCCTCCCTGGTGCTAATGGAGCTGCCTACTGTTTGTTGTCTGCTCCTGCCAGGGCACGGGGCTGCTGCTCCACCAGCTAGGCACAGTGAAGCAGAGGTGGTGATGATGTTGGGTGGCTAAGCTAGTGCCGTTGGTGATGGGTCTGCCTGGTGCTAGTTGCCTGCTGCTGCCAGGGCACAGGGCTGCTACTCCACCAGCTGGGCACAGTAAAGCAGAGGAGTTAATGGGGGCTAGCATTTATGCTTGTATTTGTGATTTGTACAAATGTTTTGTTTCTCTTCCCATTTGTTTCAATATAAGTGTTCTCTTACGCGAGACGAGATCGTCAGCATATTCAATGCTTCTGTGTTCCAGCATATCTCACACGCCTATACAGTTCTGTGTAGAAAGGAAGGGAAGCAAGCATAGTTCAGATTCGTGCAAAAGGTCGACACTAAAAACTGCATTCGCAGCGAGTTGTCTTGTCAGCACAGCCCTGCTGCTGCTGCTGCTGCTGCTGCAGCTGCTGCTGGTTGTTAGAGTGAGGATCTTGGACAAGATAGGAAGTGCTTTGGTAGAGTTGGTAGCGGAAGTCTTGTAAGAACTCAGATCATAGTGAATGTAAATAACCAAGTTGATTAAAAGATAGAATACCAGGAATATAAATAGTCCTAGTCTAGCCATGTACTCTAAGGGGTACATTCCCTTATTGTAACTGTTTTGCAGACATTTCTACAGTGACTCTTACTGTTGTACTGCCTTTCTTGTTACCGAATCGCTGCATGTAACTTGTACGATTACGCCTGTTGCCATTCCTTGATGGTAAGTCAAGCGTCGGTCGAGATGGTCAACAGTCGCGACAGTTGACTCTTGCGACTGTTGACCTTCCTGCCCTTGTTACGGGCTGATCCGATATTGTGGTAGCTGCTGCTTCGACAGAGTCAGGTGCGATACTGTTGCACCTACGGGAATGCTTAGTATAATTCCCTTCACACTCCAACACTCCCCTTCATTCCTGGAGGTGCGCCACGTGGTTTTTTGCGAGTGACTCCGCACAGGTCCGAGCAGTACTGGAACTTCTGTCGTGGCAGTTTCTTCGTGAGGAAATCTGCTGCCATTTCGCCAGTTGGACAGTAGATGAGCTGGACCTTCCCTTTGTCGATTTCGTCCTTCATGAAGAAGTAACGCAGGGCGATGTGTTTCGTGCGGTTGACGAAGCCTGGCTTGTTGGCGATTTTGATCGCGCTCTGGTTGTCGCAGAGTAACTTAAGGACCCGTTCATCGCCGTCTTTGTTTCTTGTAGGAGTTCTGTGAGATAGAGTCCTTCGCGAACTGCTGCGCTTGCTGCGATGAATTCTGCTTCTGCTGACGAGAGGGCGATGAGTTCTTGTTTGTTGGAGTTCCAGGAGATGGTTTCTGCGGGCTCGAGTTTGAAAATGAAGCCTGTGCGGGACCTCCTGTTGTCTACGTCCCCTGCGTGGTCAGCATCTACGTAGCCGGTAAGTTTTAGTGGCGCTGTTAAGTTGGCCTTGTAGGTAAGGCCAACATCAGGTGTAGAGATGAAGTACTGTAAGGCGCGGCGCAGGTCTGCTAGGTTCTCCCCTTCAGGTCGGCGCAGGTACTGGGCGAGCTGGCTGGCGATGTAGGATAAATCCGGGCGGCATGTGACGGCGGCGAACAGTAGGCATCCGAGCTGCTGCTGATAGAGACGGTGATCAGCTGGTGAGACCGGAGTAGTGTCGAGCTCGTGGTTAGGCGGAGGAATGCGGAATGGGGTGGTGACGCCGACGGGAGCTATCCCAAATTTCTTAGCAAGGGTCTCGGCGTACTTTGCGGCGGAGAGATGAATGGTGTCCGCGGTCTGAGTGATGTTGAGGCCGAGGAATTGAGTGACCTCGTGGTCGATCGTGACCTCCAGTTTTTCCTGAATTTCGCGTTCGAAGCGGTTGAGCAGGTCGTTGTCGTCACCGGTGTAAAGAAGATCGTCGACCTAGGCGACGAGCAGGATGAAGTGGCCGTGGGATTCAAGGCGGTACATCCCCTAGATCGTGGGGAAGCTGCTGGAAACCGAGCTCGATGAGGACGCCGTGAAGATGTCGCTGCCACAGGTGAGGTGCCTGTTTGATGCCGTATAGGAACTTTTGCAGGGGACAAACTGCATCGCCATCTTCTTCGAACGCGTGTGGCTGCTCGACGTAGATGATAGCATCGACGATCGCGTAGAGGAACGCATTGGAGACGTCGATCTTGCGAAGCGGGCGCTGTTTCACGGCGGCGATGCAGAGAAGAATGCGTACTGAGGTATGACGACTGACAGGTGCGAAGGTCTGGTTGTAGTCCATGAATTGGGTCTGCTTGAATCCGCGAACCACCCAGCGCACTTTATTTTTTTCGACTGTACCGTCCGCGAGGGTCTTGATGCGGAAGACCCACTTCCCTGTAAGAATCTTCCTCTCCTTTGCGTGGCGCCGTGGTACCAGCTTCTAGGTTCCGCGACGTTGTAGTGCAGCGACTTCTGCGGCCATGGCGGCTCTCCACTTCTTGGCATCGGGCCCGTTGAGAGCCTGGCGAACAGTGGTGGGCTCGACCAGCTGCTGGTTACCCCGCACGGCGACAGCGAGGCCGAGGATGCGAAGGCCCGTAAGGTTGGATTCGGCTGTGGTGGTGACCACGTCGTCGTCGTCACCAGGGATGTCGCGAAGGGTGTCCCGAGATGAGTCACGAGCTGGGTCTTCGTTCATGGGTGAGTGCATTTCTGCACTTGCATAATCGTGATGTGCCTGTACTGCTTCGTGGGGATTGGTGACTGTTGGGAAGAATGTGGGAGTGCCGAACTGCTCCGTAACGGGGATGAAGGGTGCTTCGTTTGCTGCTGTCTCGTTTGGCTGTTCTCCTGCCACGTCAACGTCGTCCTCGTCATTGGCGTAGCTGTGCTGTCCCAGGAAAATGTTGTCCGGTGCGTTCTGTGCAGTGCGGTGCTGGGGGTACAATGGCAGGGTCAGTCTTTCATAGACGATGCAGTCACGTGAACGCGTGAGCTGGTGGGTGGCGAAGTCCAGAATTGTCCAGGCATGGTATTCAGATTCGATTCCGAGGTGAATGCCCCAGCGAGCGCGATCCTCAAATTTTCCGGTTCAGGCAGTGTGAGGGCGGTACTGTACCATACACCCGAAGACTTGCAGCATGCGTGTATCGGGGTGTTTTCCGGTCCTTTTTAAAAGGTGAGCTGTTGTTGGGCAGTGCTTTCGAGGAGAGCATGTTGTGCAGCCGAACTGCATGCGCCAAGGCGAAGGGCCAATAATTGGTTGGCACAGCCGACTGCTTCATGAGGGCTCGCACTTTTGTCGCAAGGCTTCTGTTGGTTCTTTCCGCCAATCCCTGCTGCTCGTGGGCGTAGGGCAAGGAGACCATCCTCTTGATCCCTCTCTGCTTGCATAGGGTTTTGAAGTCGTCCGACATGTACTCCAGAGCTCCGTCTGTCTGGAACGCTTTCAATTTGTGGCCGTCACTTTGGTTTTCCGCCATGGCGAGCCAAACTTCGAAGCAGTAGTAGGCGAGGTAGCGTTCCTTGACGTTCACGGCCCAGACGAAGCGTGTGCTGGCGTCAATGAAGGTGAGGGTGTACTGCTCCCCTCCAACTCCTTTCGCCGTGAGAACCAGGAAATCGCTGTAGACTTTCTCCAGGGGTTTGTATCGTTCGGCTCCCGGAATCTTTTCGGCAAAGGGCGTGTGGCGGAGTGCGGCTGCCGGACAGACGATGCAATTGGGTAGATCGGTTCGTGGTTTCAGCAGCTTTCCATCGGGCAGCAACAGTGCTTCTGCCGCAAAAACATTGGCGTTGATGCAGTTGTTGAGCACTTCGCTTGATGGGTGTCCCATGCGTTGATTCCAGATGTCTCCGTCAGCCCGATATCCCTTGGTGCGCGTGTACAGCTCCTTTTCTCGTGCTAATATCTCCTCCGCTGTTTCTTACCTTGTTGCGTCCGTAGGTTCATCGGGCACGGTGATTTGAACTGCCGCTGCTTGAATTGTCACGCCATGATACGTTCTGCTGGTGTCGCCGACAGTAACAGTGTCCATTGTTACCGGCAGCTCCGGTGGTTCCTCTGAACTCGCAGGCGAGGTTCGTGCGCGACGATCTTCGAGCTGCGTGATTTCTTCTCCCTCGAAGTTGGTATCGCCGATCGCCACTCCCCTTGTCTCGAGGCGAAGGTAGTCCCTGCCATCTGTCATGATGGGAAGTAGATGAGGTCCGTACTCCATTAGTAATTCTTCCTCCTCTGTATCTGGTGCCTCTTCAGTGTTTTCTGATTCTTCTACTGCTTCCTCTGTAGGTGCGTCGGCGATGCTTCCCCATCCGGTTTCAGCTGCGACGGCTTCCCCCAGTGCGGTGTTTTCCATGACCCAGCGTACATCGGCTGCGTCCCATCCTTTAGTTGTGTTCCAGCCGGTGGGGCGCTCGACAGGTGGCCAGAAGGTTTGCGTGCTTGTTGGCTCGGTTGTTTCGACTGCCGTTCCTGACATGATCTCCTCTCCTTCTTCCACTGCTTGTGATCCGGTTTCGGCAGGGTTTGTTGTCGAGGCGACGGGCACGGCAAGAGCGCGGAAGGTGCCGTCGAGGCCGGATTGCTGGTAGTCGGTTTCTTGTGGGTGGCTCCATCGTGGTGGCGATGGATGACCGGGAGGGTCAAGGACGAGAATGTGTTCATTGTCGCCGGTGGTTCTGGACGACTCGAAGTCGAGCACAAAAATGCCTTCCACACTTGTTGCCTTCCCAATGAAGATGCCGTTGTATATTAAATGCATTTCGTCTTCTGTTGTTTGCCAGCCAACCCCGCACTTCATCAGCTGGTGGAGCGATAGAAGGTTGTACCGAAGCTCCGGCACGATGAGAACATCGTCGATGTGGATGCAGTAGCCAGTGTCGTGGGACTCCAGTTGCACTTGTCCGCGGCTTCTGGCGTAGATGATTTGGCTGTTGGCAACGGTGATCTCCACTTCGTTGAAGAGTCACCCTCTGTTGAGGATGAAGACATCTAAAGACACAATGTGTTGAGCACAGCAGCTGTCCAGGTACCACGTGTTGACTTCCTTTCTTGCCTTGGCCAAATTTGCAAGCTTCGGAGTGATGTAATGGTCCATGTCGTGATTACTTTCATAGTCGTAGTAACATTCTCCGTCGTCGTCTACGATGCGTGCAGGTGGTGACTCCTGGATCCACTCCGGCGCTTCCAAGTCAAACTGCATCCGTCCAACCGTTAACTCGTCGTAGGTTGGATCATTCTCCTCTTCTTCTTCGACTGATCCTTCGGGCCGCTCCTAAGGCGGGTCTGTGAACATATCTTCCCAGCTGCGGAAGAATCGGTAGTGTCAGTTGAGGCGAGGCGGTCCATGACGTACCATGCAAGTCAAGACCTTGCTTTTGCCTTTGTCGTTTGTGTTCGCAAAGAGACACGCCGGGGCTTGGGACGTACTGGCGACGGCTGGCGGCGACACAGTTTGGTTGCGCGCTGCGGCTCCTCCTTGCTGGTGAGCAGCGGCACCCTTCTGGTTATTGTTGTTGCCGTTCAGCTTCCAACAGTCTTGAATCATGTGCCCAGTCTTCTTGCAGTACTTGCAGAAGAGTCTTTTCTTGTCCGGTGGCGCTTGAGCGTGAAAGGCAATCTTCTCCTTTTTGTTGCCTCGTTCGTTGTACAGGTCGATCTCCTTCTGCTCGGAGAGAAGCGTGCAGCAGAGGGCAGTTTCGCTGAGAGTGCCTTGTGTGCGAAGGACGGACTTACATTGGCGCCATTCCGAGCTCAATCTAGCAAGGATGATGGTGACGAACATGTCGTCAGGGAAGTTGCCGCCGCTTTTCCTGAATTGATCTCTCAGGTTCCTGCAGCGGTTGATGTATGGTCCGGCCTTTTCGCCAGGAAACATCTTGACGTTGTTCAGCTGGTTGAGCAAGCGACTGAGTGTCACCGAATCTGTTGCCATGTGACAGGTGCGCAGATGTTCCCAGGACGGTTGCACGGGCGCCCATTCGTTTTTGAAGGGGCGAATGTGTAAGAGGTCCACTGGTGATCTCCGATTGATCCTAAGGAAGGGTTACAGGCACGTTGGTCTGGGGGGTTATGGGCGCACTTATCCGCTACACAAACAAGCCCTTTTATCCCAATGGTCTAGTGGTTGGGATTTCGACATGGTATCAGAGCGAAGGTCTCAAGTTCGAACCCCGGTGTGTGCACTTCGGGCATCCCAGTGCGGGGGGGTGTAAGAGGTCCATTGGTGATCCCCGATTGATCCTAGGGAAGGGTTACAGGCCCGTTGGTCTGGGGGGTTATGGGCGCACTTACCCGCTACACAAACAAGCCATTTTATCCCAATGGTCTAGTGGTTGGGATTCTGACAGAATGCTCAGCTGTTCTTCGGGCGACAAGTTCCGGATCAGGACGGTGAAGGCCAGGAGTGATTCGTGGTAGTATTATGTCTTCTCCTGAGGTGAGCCGTTTGTTGGGAAGGGGTATGATCCGTCGTAGTACATCCAGATCTGAGCGCCCTGAGCGAGTAGTTCGAATTCGAAACTCCACGTATAGAAGTCTTGTCCGTCGAAGGGCTTGGTAGTTCTGAGCTTCGACGTGGAGAGGAACTTGCTCTGCATTGAAGCCATTGCCTCGTAATGTGTTTGTTGTGCTTGAGCAGATCCTTGAGCTCCGCAGTTGTCGAAGGTGAAGGATCGTTCAGATCCAGCTCCTTGAGGATTGGGAGGTTTTCGGGCGTAACTTGAGCCGTCAATGCTCATGGGCTGGTGGCTCTCCAGTGCACTGATGCGGGAGATTAGCTGCTCGAGGAGCGCTGTGTCCACGGTCGTCATAGTAGAGGCGACATTGGTGGAGGGTTGCACTGGGTTTTCCCCAGCCTCTCCGCAGTCTGCGCCTGGCATGTTGATGCCCCTGATGTCGTTGATGTTGAGGTTTAATTTATAAAGAAACTTTGTCGGAAGCCCCTTTTAGCAGATCCTATAATCCAAACTAGCTCTAATACCATGTTAGAGTGAGGATCTTGGACAGGATAGGAAGTGCTTTGGTAGAGTTGGTAGCAGAAGTATTGTAAGAACCTAGATCATAGTGAATGTAAATGACCAAGTTGATTAAAAGATAGAATACAAGGAATATAAATAGTCCTAGTCTAGCCATGTACTCTAAGGGGTACATTCCCTTATTGTAACTATTTTGCAGGCATTTCTACAGTGACTCTTACTGTTGTACTGCCTTTCTTGTTACCGAGTCGCTGCATATAACCTGTACGGTTACGCCTGTTGCCATTCCTTGATGGTAAGTCAAGCGTCGGTCAAGATGGTCAACAGTCGCGACAGTTGACTCTTGCGACTGTTGACCTTCCTGCCCTTGTTACGGGCTGATCCGATATTGCGGTAGTTGCTACTTCGATAGAGTCAGGTGCGATACTGCTGCACCTACGGGAATGCTAAGTATAATTCCCTTCACACTCCAACAGTGGTAATGGTGCTCTGCTGCTGATGGCCATGTTGTGCTGTTGCTGCAGCAATGGAAGCTTCTAAATAAGCATGGAGAAGCAGAAAATCCAAGGGGAAACGCATAACCAACACGAGACGTGTAGGCGAGGGGAATGGGGGGGGGAGGGGGGTGGAGGGATGGGAGAGGGGGAGGTGAATCGGGTATGATCGCGTAAAAAATGGCAGGAAGGCGGATATGTGCTAGGATAGTTGTGCTCCCACCCATATCCACTCACTGTCATATATAATATTACTTTGAGATAGCGTGTCATGAATAAACGGATGCTTGAGGTTGCAAGAGCAGTGTATGTCCCCCAAAGGCTCCCTTAGCATGTCAGCATGCAAGGCTCATTTGTACCAACGAGTTTTGAGTCGACCCAGACCTTGTCCACACCAATAAACGAATGCTAAAGGTAGTAAGAGCGGTAAGTCTCCCAGAGGCTTCCTTTGTACTTGAGCATATAAGCCTCATCTGTATCAACACTGTACCCTTCAACCAGCCACCTATTCACACTGTGCATCTTCTCCCTCACATTCTTCGCCTGCCTCTCCCCAAAGCAGTTGCTCGACACGCCGCTCCTCCCCTTCCTCACATGCACCACAGGGGTCTCCGTTTTAGCCAGCCCCTTCCCATGCTTCTCCCAGTAGAAAGATCGACTTGCAATGCAGTACAGGGCGAGGGAGGGGCATGATTCATGTAGGGCAACAAGAGTTTGCTGCTCGCAGGTGCGAGAGGGGAAGAAGATCGTTTTCATGTTTGGAGCCTTGATAACAGGGAGCTCTCCTGCTTGCTCCTCTTCCTCTTCCTCCTCCTGCTCCTCCTGCTGCCACTGCTGCTGCGGACGTCGGTGCTGCTGCAACCGCCTCTGCCTCTGGTTGCGCTCCTGACATTCCTCCACTGTAACCTCCTCTTCACCATCATGCTGCCGCCTCACAAAATCCAGATCTCTCGCAAACCGCTCCTCACTTTCCACGACAACCCCAAGGCTGCGCAGGCAGCTCCACTCCGCACCCAACTGCTCTACAGGCACCCCGTACCTCACTATAAGCACCTCCACTGTTGGTGCTATAGCACCCAGCCATTCAACCCAGGAGAATTCAGAGGAGCTGCAGCGGTGCAAGCTTAGCCAGTCAGGGGGCGGAGCAGGGGTATCCCAAGAGGAAGAATCTGTTCTTTGAGATGAGCAGGCATCATCGCGGGAGTGGCGGTCGATGGGAGGGCCATTGAGGTAGGCCACTCGTGCAGATGCGAGGCGGAGGGAGGAGATGACGAGACGCTCCCGGCCATAGAGTGAGAGTTGGTCGAGATAGAGAGGAGCGGCGCTCTTGCAGGAGAGGACCAGCCGTTTGGCCACGGCAGAGAAGGCCTTGAGCGAGCGGGAGAGGGTGAGGAAGAGCGTGAGGCTGCTCTGTGCGAAGTAGAAGCGGAGGACGCGAGCTGATGAGAGGTCAAAACAGAATCGGTTAATGCCGCTGCCATGAGGGCCGACGGACGGGTTATCCGAATCCCAGCCCTCATAAAGCGTGAATTCCGTGAGCTGTGGCGTGAGCGTGGCGAGATACTGGACATCCACATGGCTCCAATCGATGTGCTTGAGAGTCAAACTGCGCAGCGCCTTGAGCTTCCCCGCCCACCCATCCGAGAGAACCCACTTGCCGCGCCCCAGCTTCAGCCGCTGCAGACGTGGGCAGCCGAAGTACTGCGTCCAGTGATTCTGCTCAATGAGATCCCTATGATACTGGTCCACGGCACGCCCATCGCCGTGTTCCACAGCACCCCCATCGCCCTGCTCCATGGCACACCCATCACCGTGTTCCCTGTCAAAGAGCTAGGAGTAGTCCACACAGCCGCGCAGCTTGAGGGTGAGCGAGGTGAGGGAGGCGAAGGCCCACTCGTCCTGGGACACGATGGTGTCGAGCTGCATGACGTGCATGAAGGTGAGGGTGAGGGACCTGAGGCCGCGCTGGCGCAGGAGGAAGGCGACGCTCCTCTCCCACTGCGGGTGTAGGTTGTTGTATACCAGGGAGATGGGGTGCTGGGCCTGCAGAGATGGATGGGAGAAGGAGTGCGGAGTTGGAAAGTTATCAAAATTCAGATCTGGAACGCGATTTAAAGAAGGCGATGCTCCTCTCCCACTGCGGGTGCAGGTTGTTGTAGACCAGAGAGATGGGGTGCTGGGCCTGCGGAGACGGATGGGTGGGAATGGAGGAGAGAATATGAAAGCTAGATGGATGGGAGATGTGGCGGTTACTGCAATGCCACGAGAAAAACACTCTCAGCAAGGGCTGTTGGAAGCACACCAAAAGCCAAGTGCAACGGAGGATCATACTCACGGAGAAGGAGAGGACGAGGTTGCGGACTCTCTTGCTGGCCATGGCGCAGCACAGCAGGGCCCACCCACTGCCATAGGTTTTCACGTTCTTCCGGTGCTGCCCGACTGCTGAAAATTCAGGGTCCACAAATTTCACGGGCATGTTTCTGCCCGTTGGGGGCTGCATTGTGGCGGTGAGATACCAGGGCGCCTTACGCCTACTGTCACGCGCCTTACGCCGCGCACGGGGGGGGAGTCGGGGCGGGAGGAGCCGGGCGGCAGCAGCAGGCAGCGGAACACCCGGTGCCAGATATACATGCTATATCCACTGGTAGCATGTCCAGGGGATTACGGGGGATGGCTGCTTGAAGGAGAGATGGGTGAGAAGAGAAAGGGACAGATGGAGGGGTGAAGGGGGAATGTGAGAAGCCAGTAGTGTGTTTAAGGCGGATTTGATGGATAAGACGGATGGGATGGGTGGGATTGGTGGGATGGGCTGGATGGGTGGGATGGGTGAGATGGGTGGGATGGGTGGGATGGGTGGGATGGGTGAGATGGGTGGGATGGGTGGGATGGGTGAGATGGGGGGGATGGGTGGGATGGGTGAGATGGGTGAGATGGAGCGAGCTTTATGAGGACGGGAGAACGGAGGAGAGAGAGAGTGGGTGACAAACTCAGGGACAAAATCTGGTAGATGTAAAGAACCTCGTTTCATCGAGTGCTCTTCTCAGGCACGTGGAGTGCTCTTCTCAGGCACGTGGAGTGCTCTTCTCAGGCACGTGGAGTACTCCGCTCGAGCATTTTTCGGAGAGGCCAAAAAAATATCACCAAGACCAAAGAAGCTCGATGGTGCGAATGTCAACATAAGAGTGGCAAAGTGGAGACGCGATACTAGTATTACCTATCCAACGACTTAACTTTTTAAACCACTTGCCACTATGAGCGATAGAGAGGAGGGGAGAGAGGACGATGCAAAAAGTGGTGTAGGGTGAAAAGGAGGACTTGGAAGGAAATCGGCCGCAGGGACGATGTAACAAGACGAAGGCGATCTCGCCTCCCTCGATTTCGCCAACTCAGCTCCTTGTGATCCGAACCAGAATTCGGAACACGCCCTAAGTACATTTCGGGAATTCAATGTTGGAATCCAACATTGAATTGTGTGGCTCGTAATTCTCAGTTTCCAACCTTGGGAACAATTCCAGAGAGCACGCTAGTGCTGGACACAACACGGCAGAGAACTCCAACAGCGCAGCAAAGCAATTGACAGCACAAGCAAGCATAGCTTCCTACAGCTATGGCTACTTCAAACGGTGCTCATGACCATCATAATCTACTATAGTGTGGACGACAACAAGACAAATAGTCTCTGCCCATGTGTTTAGTGAATTCCTAGGCTATGCTTATTGCTTCTAGGATATGACAACAAGGCTAGTATCTCTTGTAAATAATCATAGTGACTATGCCTTGCTGTTGTTAGCTCTAGGAATAATAATGGCGACCTGAGCGACCAGCTCGAGGCGCCCATGCTAGTATCCTAGTATATTATGATGCATCTTTGAAATGTATGCCATCATATGATCTCTTGTAAAGCTATCTTACTACTTTCATCCTGAAATTCTCCTAAGAACGCTTCCTACTACTACTACTCTGCCAAAACAGCTTAGTGGCTGTTTCAGACGAAAAGAAGCTAGGTTGGCGCAGAGCGTGTATTTTAGGAAGAAGGAATAAAATGCGGGAAGGGACATTATCAAAGTACGGACAGAGTAGCAGAAGGTGGGGGAGAGTACTAACTGGCAAGGAATGCATCTGAGAGTTGTCTAAGCAGGAAGGTGAAGTCTAGTAAGTGGTTCTCGTTTGGAGCGCGAAGGCAATGCGGTGAAAGTGGGATGCGGCGTCGCTAAACAAAAGTACTCCTTGCCTGGGTCGGAATTGCTCTTCTTCACTCGTCGCTCACGCTCCCTCGGCTCGGCCGTGTCATCGCCAGTACACTGCACCGATGCCATGGCGATCGAACAATCATAGGCACCCAATCCGCCTGGTAGTAACTACTATTTTTTTACTCAAAAGTCGTGCATATGCACTCGTCATTAGACTAGGGCGTACTTTTCGCGACTCTGGCTGTCGAGGAGCTCTGGCTCATTGTCCTACACGTAGAAAAACTAAATTCCTCCAAACTATTTTTGCTCAGAGTTCGTTTGACGCGGTTTGATATGGTCAGCTACGTTTGGGAGCGGCTCTGTGCTTTCACTGCTCTAGACCATTGCACACCAGTCAAAAGAAAGCGGACGAGTATGACCAGCCCCGCTCACTACATCAAGGAGCCCAGCTGATGGATCTGGTGATAAGCGAAACAGCACAGTGCTTTGTTACCTGTTTCGCTAATCTTCGAAGTTATTGATTTCATTGACAATGTGAAGCCGCGTTTCAGCGACGGTGTTAGGGCGCGTGAGGTCTGTTTAGAAGTTCAAAATAAAGTTCGAACTTTGGGTGGTTACCCTATTCGCTAATTTCGCTAAGAGTGCCTCGCGAACCAAGCATTGTATGGGCTCTGCAAAAGTTCGAGTTTGAAATATGAACTTGACTCGAGTCGGAGGCGCGAGCGTGCGTGCGCACGTTCATGCGAGCGTGTGTGATTTGCAGCATGTCCGAACAGCTGGCGAAACGGGCGAGCGCTTCGCCAGTGCATGAAGTTGCACAACGAAGACACCCCACAATTCGTGCACACAGTGGTAGCCACGTGTCCAGCATCGTGGCACGTTGACGTGGCGCACCGTCAAGACGAGCGAACCGGGTAACCTACGATGTTGACGTGCGGCTCGGCTCGTTTTTACAAGTTCGAATGTGGGGGTTCGACCTGTGAAACTATGAGCAGAGGAATGAATTGACTAAGTCAGAGTTGGGTACAAATACAACCCTAGCAAACTGTACCCCATATGTGCTACCCCACTATAGCCTACAAACATGCATCAGCTATAATAATCTGACACACCCCCATAGGCAAAGTGGGGGAGAACAAGGGGTCACAAGACCAGTCAAGCAAAGCAAAAACAAGCTCAGGGTGGATCACAAAGTCACCACACAGTCCGAGCACAAGAGTAAGGCCAGAGGCCAGTTCACATGCAGGAGTAAAGACATATATATAAAACTAGACAAGCAAGAGCAGGTATATATATGTCAAAGTACAAGTAAAGTCAAGAAGAGAGCAAGTGAGGCAAGACAGGTACAAGACCCAGCTGGGTACAAAAGCGCTGATGGTCGCAAGGCGCAAGTGCCTTGGTGAACACATCAGCAGTGTTGGCCTCAGAGGCCACGTAAGCAAGTCGCAACTGACCACGCTGCTGCAGCTCACGAGCAAGGAAGTAGCGGAGAGCAATGTGCTTCGTTCTGTGCTCCAAGCGCTGCTCTCGACACAAGGCCAACATGGCCTTGTTGTCTACGTACAGCACTGGAGGAGAACGAGGCAGCTCTCCAAGGTCAGTCAGCAGGTAGGTGAGCCAGCGAAGCTCCTGTGCAGCCATGGCCCCGGCGTAGATCTCAGCCTCACAACTGGAGCCGAGAACCGAAGACGAGCGAGTAGACCGCCACGAGACAGAGCCGGAACCAAGGCTGAAGGTGTAACCCTGTGACGACCGCTGCGTAGCCTGGTCGTCAGCCCAAGAAGCGTCTGCGTGCCCAGTAAGGACCACTGGACTCCGCCCTCCAAGCACTAGCCCCATGCCCGACGTACTGCACAGGTAGCGCAATACCCTCTTCGCTGCAGCCATGTGCTCTGGTCGGTGTCTCCCAGGAGCAACATAGCGTGCAAGGATGCTCAGAGGGTATGCAAGGTCAGGTCGAGTGCAGGTCATCAGGTACATGAGGCAGCCAACAAGCTCTGCATACGGACCACTCGACTCTACGGACTCATCCGAAGGCAGAGCTGAGAGTGAGTGGCGAGTAGGCAGAGGAGTGGCCTGAGGCGAGGAGTACGTGAAGCCGAAGCGCTGAAGGACCTGCTGCACCATGTGTGACTGAGTCAGGGTAATGGTGCGGCGTGCTCTGTCCCGAGTGATCTGCAAGCCAAGGTAGCTGCGCAGTTCACCCAGGTCTGTGCACGTGTGTCTCTTCAGCAGCTCGGACTTCACGTAGGCGAGTCCAGCAGTGTCCGCTGTGGCAAAGACCAAGTCGTCGACGTACACGAGGATGTAGAACGGCGGCAGGGAAGTGTCGGTGCGAAGAAACAGCGACGGGTCAGCAGTAGAAGGAGCAAACCCAAGAGCCGCAAGCGTAGTCCTCAGTGTGTCGTGCCACTCACGCGGTGCCTGGCGGAGACCGTAGACTGGCCGTCGGAGGCTCCACTGGGTACCAGGAGGGAAAGTCCCAGTGAAGCCAGGCGGACGGCGCAGCCAGATCTCCTCGTGCAGGCTACCCTGCAGGAACGCAGTGCTGAAGTCGAGAGAGTGAAGCTCGTAGTCGCGTTGAGCGGCAATGTGCAGCAGCACCCGAAGAGTGGTCATCTTCGGGGTGGGAGAGAAGGTCTGAAAGTAGTCAACTCCCTGCCGCTGACTGAAGCCACGAGCCACGTAACGCGCCTTGAAGACAGGCGGCGAGCCCGGCGGCCGCTTCACCCTGAAGATCCACATGCCACTGACGATGTTCGCCCCAGGAGGGGGAACCGCGTCAACGTAGGTGCCTGTGGACTTCCAGGAAGCCATCTCTGCATCCATAGCTGCCTGCCACTGAGAGGAGTAGGGACCCTCTACGGCCTCCGCGTAAGAACGCGGAGTCGGGATGTCTAGTGCATCCGGGTCTCCCTCAGGGGCTAGCAGTACAGACGCGAGACGAGGTGAAGCAGCGGCTAGACACTGGAACTCCTCCTGCCTGTCCTCTAGGACGTCCGTGCCAAGGGCACACTCACCCCCGACGGACGGAGGACAGGCGGACTCAGACTCAGCGACAAGACGAGCAGCGTAGTCTAGACGACAGCGCGCAGCAAAGTCGACAAGCTCAGTGACAAGGGCAGACGCAGCAGACGACTCGAAGGAAGGGTCAGTGACAGCAGTAGCAAGGAGACGCGTGACAGTAGGACTGGCAGCACGAAGAGAGTCCGACTCCGGGTCGGCAAGAGCAGGAAGAGAGGAAGCAGGAGGAGAAGGCAAAGGGGCACGCAGAGGAGCAGTGGAC